CTGTTCCCCGCCTCCCACCACCAGACTCAGCTCCGTAGAGCTACGGTGCCTCCAGCCGCCAGGCTGTGCTTGCCAGGGCTGCACTCAGAGCCAGAGCTGTACTTGGAGCAGCTCCACCACTGGCTCTCCTGCCTCCTCCCACCACCATGCTGAGCTCTGTGGGGCTAGCGGAGCTGCTCGAAGCGCAGCCCTGGCTCTCCCCTGCCTCCTGCCACTGGGCTGCTTCAAAACGCAAAACATTTTGAAACTTTCAAAATGTTCTGAGTGCCCTCATTTCATTTCAAAACTGTTTCAAAGCCTTTTGTTTCACTTCGATTTCACTGTTTCGAGCTCGAAACACGTTGAAACAGCTTTGAAATGAAACACCCATCAAAATTTCACACAGCCCTACTAGCTGGAACCAGACTCTGCCTCAAAGAGTCTAAGGCCCTGGTTCAGGGGGACACAAAGTTACTTTCAAGAGTATGCAGAAATGCTTTCCTTACTAGGCAAGGCAGGTAAAGAAAATGTTATTACCTTAATTTTACACACAGGGAATGGATACACAGACTTAAACACAGAGTCAGTGCAGAGCTGGGCACTGAAGCCAGAGATGCAGAATATCAGTCTAGTGCCCTAACCACAAATCCATTTACTACTACTACCTTCATCAATCCTTGGGAACCTTTTCCTCTTAGGTGCTGAGCACCTCTATAGAGCTGCAAAGTAGTGATAAATATGTGTAAATAACATTTATGTTGGAATCTGACAAAGATAAATATAGATAACCTTAAAATGCCAGTGGAAACATGTATGTTCAACATATATGAGAAGATTTTCAGTGAAAACTGCCAGAGTTAAACATACTTTCTAAAGCTGGAGGAAAGCAAACAAATGTTTATTTATTAGTATAGGGTAGTTGTAATTGATCTCTTCCAATGCATATACTAAGGTACCTAATTCTTGGTTTACTTTGCTAATGGCTTTTCAATAGCAGATAGACAATTCACCTTATATACTCTTTTCAAAGGGAGCATTGACATTCACTCACACTGGAAGTTGCTGCCATCCAGCCTGCTGGTCATAAGAACTTCACAGGGAAGAGCATTAAGAGGCCATCCTGAAGCAATTTATCTTAGTTATTGTCTGGGAATTT